CCTCTCCCACTCCCCCTGCTTGTGTTCCCTCTCTCGCTGTGTCTCTCTCTGTCAAATAAATAAATAAAATCTTTAAAAAAAAAAAAAGATATCAAAGGGATAAAAAAAATGGCTTTATCAGCTTAGAATTTAACCTTAAAATTTTGTTTGAAATTGCTAATTTTTAGAAACTATGCTTTTAAAAATGTTGGAATCCATTCTGTATTCTTCATTACTTCACTTACCTCATTTGAAGACATCTAAAAAAATTCAGGTACAGGAATTATCTTTTGATGAAGAATTAATTGATAATGGAATAGAGAATTCAGTAGTTCAAAACAACAGAACTTAAATTTTCAAGGACTTTTCTGTTATTAAAAGAGAAAATGATATCCATATGTCTTCTAAACCTTACTGAGAAAGCTGAGGAATACAGGAGAAATTTTGTAGAGCAGGAATAAGACAACAAGAAGAATCCTAAAGCAAAGGTAGATGGGGGAAAGAAGTAGCAGTTTCACTGAGCCCTTTGCCAGGCCTTTGTGTAGAACATTATTCTACATATTTAGGATTTGGGAACTGAGTGTATTAAGGAAGAGGATATATTTTGAAACCGTGTCTTCCGTAGTTGAATAACGCCTAGCACATGACAAAGAAACAAGTTGTATCCCTCCCCCCATTATATTGTAAGAAAGGAGGTGATGTGGTATGCAAAAAATGCCTGAATAGAGACCTGACTTTCCATCCTATCACTGCTACTCAATTCTGAGATTTTGGGCAGATCACTTAACCTGTCCCAAGTTTCCCTATCTTCAAGATAAACCATCTACTCCTGGGACTGTTAAGGATAAAATGAGGTCATGTATGAAAAGTTAAAACATTAATTATTCTTGCTGCCTTTGGTTAGATTGAACAAAAAAATCCTGTAGGCCAGGCATTGTGAATTAAATCTGTTTAGCTTCTAGAATGTAATGATATTTGAATAACTCTAGCAGGTATATGAATTTAAAAGTGAAAGAATAAATTAAACCTTTTAAAGTTGTGATTTGAAAGCTGTAAAATCAATGCAATGAGAAGTGGGCAAATTCAGCACATTTTATTTTAGTTTGTGGAAGAAGACTATGCCAACCCTAATGCTTTGCCTTTTTGTTTTTTCTTTAAGAGAAGAGAACAGACAGCAATGGTAGAGTATATTTTGTCAACCACAACACTCGTATTACACAATGGGAAGACCCCAGAAGTCAAGGGTAAGAAACTTTCAGTTACTAGTATATAGATAATCTCTTAAAGATTGTACTATATTTCTGACTCAGTTATGGAAAAAATCCAGTTACAAGTTCTTTCCCCAAAGTCCTTAAACATTACTCACCCATATCCTTTAGAAAGAGAAAAAAATTACACTATTACTGTCGTATAATGGATGTGGGTTTCTTGAGAGTAGGGGAGAAAAGTCATTGGTTTATACCAATATACTATGTATTCAAATATTCCTATTTATTATTAGTAAGTCCAGATTAGTAATTCTAAAGCAGGGTTTTACAACCTGGGACCACTGGAGAAAATTCAGGAAATATGTGACTTAGGGGGAGTAAATACAGATTTAGTTTTTTAACCTTTACCTGAAATTGAATGTTTCCTTCCATTGTGATCATAAGCTACAACCATAGTAGAATTAGCAGTGCCTAGGACTTTCCCACCAGTATAGAAATCATAGGTTTTTAATAGCATTTTGCAGTTGTTGCAGTTATCTCAAAATACTATTTACACATATTGCAAGAACTTGCTAGTTAATATATTAATAAAGAGACACACACTATTATTACAAGTTTTCCTTTTTTATTGAAGTATAATTAACATACAGTATTAGTTTCAGGTATACAACAGTGATTTGACATTTATATACATTATGAAATTATCACCACAATAAATCTAATTACCCTCTGTCACCAAAGTTATTCCAGTATTACTGACTATATTCCCTTTGCTGTACTTTACATCCCTGTGACATTTATTTCATAACTGGAAGTTTGTATTTCAAAGACAAGTTTGTCTTTTTAATGTTTGGTAACTGTGTACATTCTTTCTTTCTTTTTTTTTCTTTCTTTCTTTTCTTTCTTTCTTTCTTTCTTCGAGAGAGAGAGAGAGAGAGCACAAGCAAGGGGAGCAACAGAGGGAAAGGGAGAAGCAGGCTCCCCACTGAGCAGGGAGCCCAGTGTGGGGCTTGATCCCAGGACCCCAGGATCAGGACCTGAGCTGAAGGCAGACGTTAACCAACTGAGCCACCCAGGCACCCCTACTTGCTTTTCTTTGTAGCATTATGTAATAGTACTTGTATTAGTTTGCTAGAGCTGCCCAAAATCAAGGTATAGGCAGGGCTTTGCTCCCTTGGGAGGCACTAGAAGGATTTGTTCCAAGCCCCTCTCCTAGCTTCTGGTAGTTTGGTTTGTGGCAGCATAACTGCAGTCTTTGCATAGCATTCTTCAGGTCTGCATGTCTCAAGTGTCCAAATTTCTTCCCCTTTTTATAAGGATACCAGCCATATTGGATTAATGGCTCACTGTACGCCAGTATGATCTCATCTTAACTAATTATGTCTGTAATGACCCTATTTCCAAATAAGGTCACATTCTGAGTTACTGATGGTTGGTACTTCAACATAGGAATTTGTGAGTGGACACAATTCAGCCCATAATGAAATCTAATACTGTGCATTTATCAGACCACCAGAGGGTTCTGTTCTGCAAGGAATTTGGCAAGCTATAAAGCCAGAGAGCAATCTCCACAAGAATGCCCTCACTTCAGACATCAACCACAAACTGGGAGATCCCCAAAATTGCTCTTCAGACCAACTGGGTATGAATTTAGGGGTTCCCACAACCACTTTCAGGTTTGATAACTCACTTGAGAGACTAGAATTCACTGAAGCTTGTTACACTCGGTTACATTTATCATATGGAAAGGATACAAATTACAAGCAACAGAAGGAAGAGATATAGGACAGAATGTGAGAAGGATCTAAATACCCAGAACTGATGTGGAATAGTATACGTGGAGTATTGCCAACTAGAGAATCTCACCTAAGTCTTTTATATCCAGAGTTTTTATTGGGGCTCCATCATGTACTGCCTGCATAGCTAACCTTTAGCCTCTAGCCCTGTCTCAGAGTTTGAGCTCATATCTTCAGTTTCTAGTTACTCCAGAAGTTGGAATTGATGTGAGATGTCCCAAAGCCTCCATCATAAATCACATTGTTGACTGGTGTTCAGAGTTCCCAAGCAAACAGATACTCCTGACATGCAGGACATTCCAGAGGCCTAGAGATCACCTCCCAGTAGCAGAGGGCAGAGACCAGACCTCTCTTTTGGTATGATTAATTCTTCATACATCCCTTGATTGAAAGTTAAGAACCTTTGTTCTAATGATACGCTTTAAATTTAAAATCTGTTTCTGGGGCTCTGGGTGGCTCAGTCGTTAAGCGTCTGCCTTCGGCTCAGGTCCTGATCCCAGGGTCCTGGGATCGAGTCCCACATCGGGCTCCCTGCTCCGCGGGAAGGCTGTTTCTCCCTCTCCCACTCCCCCTGCTTGTGTTCCTGCTCTCGCTGTCTCTCTCTCTGTCAAATAAATAAATAAAATCTTTAAGAAAAAAAAATATGTAGATGTGTATAATATCTATAAAATACTATAAAACTTTAATGTATTTTCTGTATGTATGGTGTTGACTAGACCACGAACACCATTCTGTGTCATGGGAAACTCAAGTTACCTATAAGGAAGAATATCTCAGACCTGGAAGTGGTAGAATGATGTTTCAACAACTGCTTTTACCAATCCTTTTATTATTTTGTAGATAATGAGCTTCAATCCCCAAGATCTGCGAAGACGTTTGTGGGTGATTTTTCCAGGAGAAGAAGGTTTAGATTATGGAGGTGTAGCAAGGTAGTGATAATATGAATACTCAGAACTTAGTTCCTTTCTTCCAAAGGTATCATTCACTTTGCTTGCAAGTATTTTCTCAATCTTCTATTTCAGGAAAATGAATGTAGCAAATTATTGTACCTTTATTCTGCAGCTACCGAAGTTCAGCAAACACTAATTCAGCACTTTCTAAAGGACTGCTAGTTGATTTCCCCCACATTACTCATTTTAATCCTCAGGATAACCCTGTGAGATAGAATTTTATAGGTAATAAGGTTCAGAGACTAACCTACAGCACATAACTAAGATGTAGAGCCTGGATGCAAGCTTTGTATCATCAAACCAGAAGCCAGTGTTCAGTCTACCACCTCTTTTTTTGTTCCACAGAGCGAGCATACAAGGCCCTATAGTGATCAGGTTATTTTCCCCATCACAGATTACTGATACAGGTAATAGCCACAGATACAGCTTAATGTATGAGATGAATACAGCTGTTTTAAGAATATAGAGGGATGTGTAAAATAGTTAAAATGTTAAATTCTGCTTTCTTAATATTGGAGCTTCTAATCAAATCCTAGAAGACAAACTCAAGAAATTCCTTTGCTTATTCCGTAACAATATAGCACATCAGGTTAAGTACTTGCATAGCAGTGGCAGTGTGGAAAGCAAGGACTTTGGAGTCAAGATTGGATTTGAATCCTTTTTCTGCACTCATCAGTACAACCTGGGGCAAATATCTTTCATCTGTAAAAAAAAGAATAGTCACATCTAGTTTTCTAGGATTATTGTGAAGAATAGAAATAGTGTTTATTAGTGACCTAGTTCAGACCCTCCATTTTTGTGTGCTCACTAAATGATGGCTACATTTTAGTAGTTCTTATTTATGTTATGTATTAAAATTCACATTTCAAAATGTATGAAATAACCACTGGTAAATAATAAATACGAATAGAAACACTGAATTTTGTATAAGTTAAAGGTAATTCAGGAGGAGGGCAATCATTTATTCTTAATTAGAAAATCAAATAGTATTAAAGTATAAGTAGCATTACCACCAGAGGCCATGAACTCACGAAAAGAAATCTCAGACACAAGCTAGTATCATCTGTATTGCCCCAGATCCATTCTACCCACCAGGCCCACCCATGTTATATAGTAACTATAATCTTATGTTAATATTGGTTGGTATTTTCACAACAGTTGAATTAGAGCTCCTCAGAGCATTTTTCTAATGAATGAGTGACTTCAATTAAGTGTTTTATTGTCTTCGTGAAATTGGAAGTTTTTTCATATTTACCTAAAATTTAGAGAGCAGTGTCATTTGATGAGGATTACTGTGAGGTTTAGTAACAGATGGGGTAATATTAGACTTCTTTCAGCTGCTCTAACTACATGGGTTAATAGTGAATTTTAAACTTGGCCTCTGTATAGTATTTCATTGATTCTAAGACTAACATTTTAACGTCTCTGACATTGGGATATGTATCACAATTAGAAAAATTTTTAGTGGCTCATCAAATAATGGTGTCTTTTAAGTCGATGATGTCTTAGATTCTTTGAAATATAATATGCAGTGTGTAAATATCATCTCTGTAAACTAGATGTCTGTTTGAACAGAAGCAGTTCAAAATCAACATGGGATTAGAAAACTCTCACCAGCTGAGGAGTGTAGATCCCTGAGAACTTTGTAGCACTGCTCTTTGATTTGTTGGCATGGTTTTTTTCACCCTAAATTTTCTTTTGATTTCAGAGAGTGGTTCTTTCTTTTGTCACACGAGGTGTTGAACCCAATGTATTGCCTGTTTGAATATGCAGGGAAGGATAACTACTGCTTGCAGATTAATCCTGCTTCTTACATCAATCCAGATCACCTGAAATATTTTCGTTTTATTGGCAGGTTTATTGCCATGGTAAGTACAGGTGGAGAACTGTGTTTACTTTGCTAACTCAGCAATACTAAAGCATTGTTTCTTTAACCTCATTTGAAATTTCTCATCACTAAGAAATTTTTTAAGATTGGTTTGTTATCTTTGCCCTTTTCCCAAAAATGTGCCATAATAGATGACAGGGGAGCTTTCAGGGAAGAATTCATCTAATATTCTATTATAAAATTATAAATGGTATTTTCTTCTCATATAGGCTCTGTTCCATGGGAAATTCATAGACACAGGTTTTTCTTTGCCATTCTATAAGCGTATATTGAACAAACCAGTTGGACTCAAGGATTTAGAATCTATTGATCCAGAATTTTACAATTCTCTCATCTGGGTTAAGTAAGTTTGTTTCCATTTAATTTATCAAAATATAGTCTTATATGCTTTCATTATGGTGTTGGTAGCTTATCCAAACTGTAAGCATGCAGTTGGTTTTATTGAATTTAAATATTAAACTTGTTTTGTTTTTTTAATACAATAGATTTTACAGAATACACCCAATATCTTAGGCAAAAATATGACTTCAGAGTATAATCTCTCCAGTTTTCTTATTATTTTGATGCTATAGTTTTATAGTAATTATTGAAGAACATAATCCTTTAAATACTTTTTATATGATTGAATTAGTATAACAAATAGTGTTAATTTCATTTGTGCAGAGAAAACAATATTGAGGAATGTGGTTTGGAAATGTACTTCTCTGTCGATAAAGAAATTTTAGGTGAAATCAAGAGTCATGATTTGAAACCTAATGGTGGAAATATTCTTGTGACAGAAGAAAATAAAGAGGAATATATCAGGTGAGAGAGAATGCTCCTTTTAACATACTTTAGCCTTTCTGTTGGGCTACCGCACATTGATAATTGCCTAGTAATACTAGTGGACAGTATTTCAAAAGATAATGTTTGCCTTTTTACTAATCATGAGAACTGATCGTATATAACAAGGACATGATCGTTTTCTACCTTAACAAGTGTGTTGATAGAGGAACAAGGAAAGTGCTATGGGAAGTCAAGGGAGGGAGACATTATTTCTTCTAGTTGTAATCATGGAGCAAGTAACTGATGATAGTTAATATAAGCTTTGAAGGTTGGGGAGAATTCAGTTGTGCAGAAATGAGAACAAAAGTTATAAGCAGAGATAGGAAGGCTGGAAAGCACAAGTCACAAGGAAGCGTAGTGGTGCTGTCAGGCAGCTCAGAGTTGATACCCCATTCTGCCATGTCCTGCATTTCAGAGGCCAAGGAAAATGAGGAATCTTTAGAAAATGTGGAGGCTGATAAGTTATAATAACCCTTAAGAGAACAGTTAGAACTACATCCAAGTGGTAGATAAAGAAGCCACATTACAAGAAATTAACGACCATATTCAGTAGACAATCTAAATTTCTTTTTTTTTTTTTAAGATTTATTTATTTATTTTTGAGAGAGCGAGAATGAGAGAGAGAGAGAGAGCAAGAACATGAGTGGGGGAGGGTCAGAGGGAGAAGCAGACTCCCCGCCGAGCAGGGAGCCCGATGCAGGACTCGATCCAGGGACTCCGGGATCATGACCTGAGCCGAAGGCAGTCGCCCAACCAACTGAGCCACCCAGGCGCCCCGACAATCTAAATTTCTTTTAACAAGTCTGGCAGCAGACGAATGAGAAGGTATAACAGATTCTTGTGGAGGCAGCAGGGTAGAGAGACTATCCTGCATGTTAACTCAAACTAAATTTTACAAAGAATTAATCTAATGGGTACTGATATGTTTTATACACCTTTCTTGGTATATTTTCAGTTTAACCACAATTTGAAGATAATAAAGGGATAGAAAAGAATTTTGGTTATATAGAACTTTCACTTTTTCTCCAAAAGTGAGAGTTTTAGGAGTAGAAATAGTGCTAGATCACTCTTTTCAATACCAGTTCTGTAACCACTGTGCCATGTAATATCAAGTCACTGAAAAGAATCTCAAGGGGCGCCTGGGTGGCTCAGTCCATTAAACGTCTGCTTTTGGCTCAGGTCATGATCCTGGGGTCTTGGGATCAAGCCCTGCATTGGGCTCCCTGCTCAGTGGGGAGTCTGCTTCTCCCTCTCCCTCTGCTTCTCCCCGTTCGTACTCTCTCTCTATCTCTCTTGATCTCTCAAATAAAATCTTTTTTAAAAGTCAAAGTTGAAATCTAGAATATTTAGTAGAGAATTTTCATTAAAAGTATTTTCATTCAGGGGGCGTCTGGGTGGCTCAGTCATGATCTTAGGATGGTGGGATCCAGCCCCGCTGCAGGCTTCTTGCTCAGCAGGGAGTCTGCTGGAGATTCTCTCTCCCTCACCTTCAGTACCTCCCCCCACCACACACTCTGTTGCTCTCGCATGCACGCGCGTGCTCTCTCTCTCTCAAATAATCTTCAAAAAAAGTATTTTCTTTCAAAAAAAATTGCAAGGGGCTATCTATAAGTTAAAAGCTTAAGAGACTTTTACAATGTATGACCCCTTTTTAGATGCTGATTGAAGCAGTATGTTAAATTGAGTCAATCAGAATTTGAGCACTGAATACTTGGCTGTAAAGGAATTGTTTACTTTTTTGTGTGATAATAGAATTGTGATTGTTTTCAAAATGAGACTTTATCTTACAGAGATACATGCTGAATTATTTATGTTTAAAATGATAGTATATGATTTCTAGGTATGGGTAGGGGCATAATGAAATAAGATTGGTGTTGGGTTGAAGCTGGGATATACACAGGACTCATTATATCCTACTTTTATAAATATTTGAAGTTTTTCATAATAAAGTTTTTAAAAATTATTTTTATACTCAGAATTTAAAAGTAAAATCTAAACTTCCTGATAGCTTTTTTAATATTTATTTACCAGAATGGTAGCTGAATGGAGGTTGTCTCGAGGTGTTGAAGAACAGACACAAGCTTTCTTTGAGGGCTTTAATGAAATTCTTCCCCAGCAGTATTTGCAATACTTTGATGCAAAGGAATTAGAGGTAATGAGTTTTTCTTATTTCCTCTGCAGCATGCTGGTAAATAATGCCTTCAGGTGTCTGCTTTCAGCTCACTTTCTCATCTTTCCAGTAGCAATAGTATTTTTATGCTAGCAGGATGTTTTGAAGTATCCCTAGTGATTTAAAAAGTCCATAATTTATCAAATATATAAAAGTCTTACCCCCCCAAAAAAGAATTACTATCAGAACCTCTCTACAGTGAATGACTTACTTACGTGAATATGTGTATTTCTTTTTGAATATGTGTATATATGACACTATCCATGGAAACTCAACCTTCGTAAGTAATGTAGACACAATTCTTGATGCACAGCTTATAAGCCTACGCCTCTGATTAATTTGTTTTTTGAAAGTTGTTGAATATTAGTCTTTCTTCTCTATGTCTAGCAGTTTTATACAGGCTGTAAAGAAACCATCTTTTTTTTTTTTTTTTAAATCTCCAAAGGTCCTGTTATGTGGAATGCAAGAGATTGATTTGAATGACTGGCAAAGACATGCCATCTACCGTCATTACACTAGGACAAGCAAACAAATCATGTGGTTTTGGCAGGTTTGTCTGTTTATTTCTATTGGCAGAACATCATAATTTTTTAGAAATTGCTTATCACATATGGAAGAAAGTCACAGAACAAAATGTACCAGTATATTCAGGCCCCTTATTCCATCCTATGTATTATAATAAATGAACAGATTATACAATTGCTAAGTTATGGAAACAGCCCAACTGTCCATTGATAGATGAATGGATCAAGATGTGGTCTGTGTGTGTATGTATATATATATAAATGTGTGTGTGGGTGTATATTACTGGAATATTACTCAGCCATAAAAAAGAATGAAATCTTAAGGGAAAAAAAAGGACTGGACTCTTGCCATTTGCATGAATGGATCTAGAGGGTGTAATACTAAGTGAAATAAGTCAGCCAGAAAAAGACAAATACCATATGATTTCACTCATGTGGAATTTAAGAAACAGGGGCGCCTGGGTGGCTCAGTTGTTAAGCATCTGCCTTCGGCTTGGGTCATGGTCCCAGGTTCCTGGGATCGAGCCCTGCTTCGGGCTCCCCGCTCGGCGGGAAGCCTGCTTCTCCCTCTCCCACTCCCCCTGCTGTGTTCCCTCTCTCGCTGTGTCTCTCTCTGTCAAATAAATAAATAAAATCTTAAA